TGGATTCCTACGGTGGTACAGTTTCATCCATCATGGTTAAATGCATCCAACCAACCCATATGTACTTCAGCTGAAAACCTATTTAGCTACCTACATTTACTTCAATTCTCCTCTTTTAAATTCCACCAACACCATCCCTCTGACCTCTAAATGGACTGAATTACCTTCATTTCAACCGGAACGATTGAGGTTCTCAAGCCGGTTCATTATGCTCCATATAATTGTTCAACTTGTTGATTTGAGGTAAAGTCTTCCTCAGTTATTATAATTTTGCCGCCTTATGAGTTAGAATTAAATTTGCTGAATTTTACATAATCTTTTGGTACCCTTTTCTCCATTGGCTTACGAATCATATTTTTGTGCGGTTGCAGCCAACGGATCGGAAAGTATGAGATGAGATTGATCAGGGATCAAACAGATCGGCAGTATAAATTAAGCTCTCTAGAGTTCCTTGCTAAAACACTAACGAGGTCTCAGCTTCCGCCTGATGTCTCCCGGCTTCATCGCTCCATTGTGAACGCAAAATCGGACTCATGATCTGTCCTCGACATTTCATGACCTAATAATGTCTCCGCATTTCCTCATTATCACAGTATCACTCTCATCACTCATCAGGGTGTTACAACTTTGGAGTAGCAGGCGGTCTTGGAGTGATTTCATCAAAAAGGAAGATTCAGCTTTGTCATACAGATTAGGGTCTGTATAAGAAACAGTTGTGGTTTAAGCCGTGTAATGAATTATTAAATCAGTTACGTTAATAACACAACATTTTTTTTTTCTTCTTTTGGTACATGTGCAAGATCTCATCTATGGTGTTAATCACAGTTACATCTTTTGTTTCATCTTTTCTTTAGAAACCTGTTTTGATCATTTGGCACCAAAAATGTTTATGAAAGTTAAATCAAATACTGAAATCGACGACCACGAAGGCAGAATGATGACTAACTTCCTCTTCCAAAGACTTTTGAATCTCTGGTCCCGGAATCCAATTTTAATGGCATCCAAATTTTCTAATGCAGATTCAAATTATGTTGGATTCCAAAGATTGATTTCGGTGCAGTTTTGCATTTGACTCTAAAATGTCAATGATCTTAATAGGCCTCTAGGAGTCTGTATTCAGTGCACCCGGGGATACCGTGCACCCCAAATCGGAATCAACGAAATTCAGCAGCTCATCTTCTTCGTCAACAAATCCGACACCCCAAATCAGAATCAGAATCCACCGGAATCCACCGTCTCATCTTCTTCGGCCTTCTCGTTCAGCACCGCCGCTACCAGAATGGACTCCCGGGGCCGCCGGAATCGCAAGTCACCAACCCGCCCCGGTTTCGCCGCTCCGCTGAACACGCCGGTTTTTATAAGGTGAGTCCTTTTTTCGTGTGTGTGTGTGAGGAGTGTGTGTGTGAGAAGGTGGTTGGGATCGATTGGACGGAATTCTTGGGGTTTAATTGAACGTGGTCGGGGGTGCACCGCTGGAATTTGCAGGGGCACCGGAAATGGGCGGATAACCAGCAAATTATATGGACAGGTAGCTACATAGAAGCACATCTAAAAAAAATATGGATAACCAGTTTATACCCTGTGGATAACTATGATAAAATAGGTGGATAATCACAAACAAAGTTTGGATAACCAGTTTACAACTTGTGGATAACCAGTTTGCACCTTTTGGATAACCAGTTTATAACTTGTAGATAACCAGTTTACACCTTCTGGATAACTAGTATAAAATGGGTGGATAACTAGCAATTATAGCATGGACAACCATCACATAATTGCTGTTAATTAAAGAAAAAAACTATGTGTGTGAGGAGAGTGTGTGTGTGAGGTGGCGGCTAGGATCGTCGGCTGCCGAAATTCTTCAATTGGAATTCATTTTGAAGCCGCCTGAAGTTGTAGGATGCACCAGAATTTGCAGGGGTACACGGTGCCCCCGGGTACACCAGATAATTTGCCGGCCTCTAGTTTCATATTCATCTTCTAGAATTAATTCGCTAACTGATTATCAATATTCTATTTTCGACGATTTATTTTCGATGTGAGAAATGGATTTCCGATATTCTTTTTTCACATAAATTTCATGACCAAGCAAAAAATCAAGAATACACGTGAATTAACAATGAAGATTCTTTCAGCAAAAAAAAAAAAATGAAGATTCAGAACAAAAGAAAGCATTCTACAATTTTGTTTATAGCAGATCAACTTTGTATGGATAAATTTTGATAATGAAGAACCATAATTAACAATGAAATTAACTACGAGTTTGGTCGCAATGTCTAACACAAACATAACAGCGTTAAGGGTTCCTTCCAAATGACAAAATGATGATTGACTCAAAAAATATGCTTAAAACGAAAGGAAATAAAATAAATTCTAGAGTACGTTGCAGTCATACAACTAGTCTTCATCAAATTATATAAATTACTATTGCAATTTCAGTCATCTCTCAACATGGAAAAAACGAGTAAGATTGCATGGTATAATTTATATATATAAACCACTTGAAGCTTCACGAGAGAACACTTGCAATTTCTAAACTTCAATCTTGTTCAAGGTTAAATGCTGTTACAGTATCATGATTAAATCAATATGACTCCATGATCAGCGGATCCTTCAACCAAACATTCACCAATAATCATCCCATTGATCAACTCCTCATCTAGACTGTGTTTTTCACACACCTAATTAAATCATGGTAACCAAAATTTATTTTCCAAGTACTTAATGTGCTTTTTGCTTTGTACTTTTCAGCTAATTAAGTTTCTAATATTCAACGTATATAAATGCTAGACCTTGCACATTGAAACGTATTTTTGAAAAACCTTTTAAAAAATCAACATTATGCACAACCAACCATATTTATTTCTACTGAAACCTAAGTACCACATTTACTTCCAACAACTTACAACCAATTCTCCGCATTCATTCCTCCGGCTCGATTCAAAACTCACAATCCAATCCCTCACAATCTGAAAAAGAAAATCACCTCAAAAAACTTTGTCCATATTCACGGAACGTAGAGGAAATAAATCTCCGTTACACAGTTCACCCGGATTCGATTGGGAAAGCTATTAGTATCTATGTATCTTCATCTCAAACTAGTGCTCTTCATTATATATGCTCCACTAAATTTTTTTTTCTCAGCTTGTTTGTGTTGCGGTAACTTTTTGTGGGTTAGAGATTTGCTGAAGTTTTTGGGCTAAATTAAACTCATCTTTATCTGCACATTTCTTGCGATCACCACATATATGAACAAGTATGGATTTGCATCGAACTTCAACATGGAAACTGATTTGGAAGTTAGCTTGGGTACTTTCTTCTTAAGCTTTCTAGAATTCCTCGCTAAAAAACAAAGCGGGACTTGGCAATCCCAAGATATCCAAATGGCAACCTCCACCGTCATCCTCATAACAGAAACATCACATCCCGTACGTCTACTTGCCATCAGAATCAAGTGCAGGGGTTTCATACATTTATGCAGACTGCGGAGTCCGAGTAATTTAGGTTAGCCTAACTTCTTGAGTTGTCTATTTTCCATTTAGCTTTACCTAACGCGAATTAGTTTGACTACTACGAATTGACATTTAACCCTTGCAAATAATTAATTCAGTTTCATCGTATCAATAACGAAACATTTTCCCCCGAAAAATCGAGGGTTCACCTCTTGTGTAATTAACCACCTTTTGTGTTTGCTCTACGTTTCATTGGCTCTTCTGAAAAAAATGTTCTAATTTGGTTAAATAACTTTTATACTTCCTCTATCTCAAAATTATTAAGTTTAAATTTTCAAAATTTTAGTTCGATTTGTACTAAAAGTTAAAGTTAGAACTGGACAAAAATTTTAAGATAGAGAGAGTACATGAATTGAAATGTAAAAGACGTTTACTATGGTATTGCGTTTTAGTTGCACATCATAAAAGCTAGATTAGGTTTCCCAAAGCAAAAAAAATTGCGCTCTCTTTTTTCTCCTTCCCTCTAGCCTCCCTCTCTCTTTTCCTATGGCCGACGATTCGCCGCCGGCCATAGGCCCAACGCCACCACTTCAACCTCCCCAACCACCACTTCAGCCTCTCCAACGACCTTCCTTTGCACAAATTTTAGGATCCAACCCAAAAACAATACACAACCACTCAGCCAAAATACAAATCACCTCAATTGTAATTCAATCAGAACCAACTTTCTTTAAAGGAGAGCCCACTTTTCTTCTTAGAAAAGAAGAAAATGAACGATTGGCAGCACCTTTTAAACTTGTCCTTGTCAGGAAATTTACCAAAGGTCGTCCAAAAATGGAATGCGGAAGGAATTCCAAACAATTGGTTTCAAAGGAGACTTCTCACTAGGAATGATTGATCATCGACATGTCCTCATATGCTTCCATCTTGAGAAAGATTATCATCGCTGTTGGTTAAAAGGTTTATGGACCTTTGACAAGCACCGGATGCGAGTACTTAAATGGACAACAGATTTCAATCCATCGCATGAAAGCTCCATAGTCCCGATTTGGATTTCTTTTGAAGGTCTCCCCATTCATCGCTTTAATAAGGAATACTTGTGGAAGCTTGCTAGTATCATCGGAACGCCACTTCAAATTGACGTTCCAACCCTTAATATGTCTCGGACGTCGGTGGCACGGGTTTGTGTTGAGATTGATCTTCTTAAGGATCATCCTATCCGAATCCGATTGGTTGTTGAAGGAAAATCCTATTTCCAATCAGTCTTTTATGAGAATATGCCTCTTTATTGTGTTGATTGCAAAAAGATTGGGCATGATCTCAATTCTTGTCGACACAATAAGGCAGCGACTTCGCTACAAAAATTGGATTCATTGCAGTCCACTAAGCAACAATCAGACAAGCAAATATTGCATAAATTGGAGTAGGAAAAGGAAGTCGTGCAACCTCCGACGGAAGTCTCTGTCGGTGCAAACCAGGCCCTCTCAACTGTCGTGAAGCCGCTGTTGCAAAACTTTGCTGCTGAAGCTGATCCCTCACTTTCTGAGAATGCGCCATCAATCACAACCTCCGCTGAAGGAATCTGAAGTTGCAACGTTGCCTCTGTTGGAATCTGAAGCCATCGCTGCCATTACGGAAGCACAAGTAGTGCCCCCCTGCGGAATTGAACAAATTCTGCGACCAATTGACGTTGATGGTGAAAAAGCGCTGCCACTTCATGACACAGTAGATACTGGCCATCGAGTCGCCTCCCCTGTTGCTGGTGCCCGAACGGTGGAGGGGGTTAAATCAATTTCACAAACTAAAATCTCCGCGATTGATGAGGTCGCCGGCTCCGAAGGGAAACAAGGTTCACCATCTACTGCCTCCCCAGAATCGAATGCGGTGCGAAGTTCAGACAAAGGAAGTGAGGAATTTTCATCATCGGAAAGGAATTTTCGGTCAGAATCAAGGACTGTCCGGCAAGAGTCACTCACTCTACGGCCACCATCTGCGCAACAAATCCCTTAAATTGCGCCTCTTGCTCAGTCAACGGATCAAACTCCTTCGCTTAGTCAACAAAGTCCGAAGAGAGCGACCTTATCTCACTCAATGACATCTCAACCGGATACCCAAATTTTGAATGCTGATAAGACAAAATCAGGCTCCTTAATTGCGCAATCAACCTCTCCCCAAAATTCTCCAAATAATGGGGCCAATTTTTCTAAAAATAGCCCTCAAACCATCTCTATAAAAAAGCTAAATTCTGCAGCTGCGGAATTCTCACCGAGACCACAAATCTCATGTCCCTCTAGACCAAAAATCCCACTCCTCCAAGTTAATCACAATCATTATTTATCAAAAGATGACATGGAGATAGGAAAACTTTTAGAATCTTCAGGAGCAAGTTTCTCAATTGATCATATTAATTCCGAGGGCGAACAAAGTCAAATTTATAAGGATTCAGAAGATGAAAAATTTGACACGGAACGGGAATTTGAGCGAGATGAAGTTTCTGCTCCAACATATCACAATCGATCGAAAAAACAAAGGCTAAAGCAAAAGTTAGAGTTCGTCAATTAAATAAGGATGCAAATTTTCTTTATTATTAGAATTGTACTTGTTATAGGGTTAGTATATTCGCTGCCCTATTTTTTTCTTTATTAATTATGAAATAAAAAAAGGTTAATTAAAAAAAAAAGTTTCCCAAAGGAAGAATAATTAATTTACTATTTCCATATCGCTTGTTGTTTTTTGTTTATTTATTTATTTATTTTTTTTGGAAAGAATTCCAAATTGAACGTCCGATTTTTAAATCACTACAGCATGTATCTACAGTTTGAATCAAGGAGTGGAGGCCTGAGGAAGCTGCCCAAAACCATGTGCATGTACGTAGAACGGTGACCGTATTGATCTTCGAGACTAGTTGGAGATAGGGAGCATAATTCACTCAACAAAACGAAAAGAAAAAAAAAAAAAAACCAATCCTTACGAGTAATAATTGAGAAAGTAATAATTGAGTAGATAAAAGTCGAGATATATCTTCTCCAACAGCTTGAGTAGTAGTATGGTGATTGAGGGATGGTTGCCCCTTCGTGGAGATGTATCTCTCAAAATTCCAATCTTCGAGATTGCCCCTTGCTAATCTGAATTATTTTAAAATCTTTAGGGACAAATAATTAAAATTATTAGGGATTAACTGGCAATTCCCAAATTGAGGAATTGTTCTCGGCTAAATATTCTGCCCTTTTGACGGATTTTGAACTCCAGGGACTGTTCTTCTCGATCAACTGTGGAGCAAGTGTGGCTCCTCGAATTATTTGTGCAACCGAAAGCTTCTTTGTGTTACATGTTGGCTGACGTTTTCTTGGCCAAAGAAAGATAATTTTTTGCGTGATCTTCTACTTACAAAATCAGAGCAACGAATTAACACCGTGGCTTCCAAAGATACAAAAGATTCCATATTTCGCTGAGAAACTTATTTAGTTGTGAAGACTAAACAAATCGGTCCCACTGCACGTGCCACTTGACGAAGCATGGACCTGTACGGTGCCTTAGGATTGGTGGCGATGATGATATAGGTGGCGGGAGACGGCCTAAAACCTGCAAGATAGAGCCTCAGATGTCTCCCGAGAATAGACTCTCCGATACTTCAGTCAATAAAAGAATAAAGAGAATAAAGAGAGAGGTATGTATATCGTGTGTAGAAGGCGTAGAAGATAGGTAGAAGATATGAATTATTGGAGAGGCGTCACCTCTTTATATAGAGGTGGTGTTACTTGTTTCCTGAAATTCTAGCGGAATAGGTTTAGGCGGGGGTTTAATTTCCAAGTAACCTAATCCTAACTGGGCCCATTAGGTCTTGGGTTTATTTTAGACTCGTCAACTGCATGATCGTTATCGTTACCTGTTTCGATTGCCGTGTTCAGGATCCAAGGTGCGACAATAAACCAATATGTAGTCTCTAAGGGACGATACTACTAAGAACCAAGTGGGCATGGCGTTGCATCTGAGAAGTCCGAGCGATTTTCTTGACGAAATTCAAGTTAATAGCTTTGTTATAATATAATAGAGGCAGTTAGCCTCATTAATCTTTTATAGCAGGTTGTATATTAAGTTTAGCTTCGCGTTGTACAGATAATTAGTAATGAGGCTGTTGTAATTTAAATAATTCTGTTCCATCAATCACAAAAACATTTCGCACCACCTTTGTTCATCATTTTTTTCTTCCGATCACGCGGTAAATGTAAAAATGAAAGGGATCTACAAGTACAAACAAAAATGATGAAATGGAGACCAATAACATAATGAATGCCTAGGATTCCCAAAAGTAACAAGATCTAGCTTAAACTTCATATTTGAATCGACAATTTTTGCTTGAATCAAGGTAGCCAGGAACGTAACTGCTAAATAATATGGAGAATGATATACACACATTTAACTTCCAATCAGCCAATCAAACGAATGACGGGAGGAAGGGACACGAATTTTTGCTGTTGAGAAAAGAGTATTTCAATCAATCTGAGTAATTTCAACCTTCAGACAATGTGGTTATTGTTACTAGCAAAATGTTTAATGCATTAGTCCTCATTGATATCGATAGCTCTCCCGTTAACATTTGATTTTCTTCTTTCTCGACTATATATTTTGAGTTTGTAAATTCTAATGAATTGAGATAGTAGTAATAAGTTCTATACATGGAGAATTTAGTAATGTTATTAATTTGATTTAATTCAGCAAAGTTATTGCAACGTAAGCTTTCACTTATTCGGTCTCTCATCTTCCAATGGACGGGAACAAATTTTTTGACATGCCATTAATCTAAAAACTTTTGATAGTTCACTTTTTATCTCTTCAATTAAAAAAGAAAAATCATCACGGTCAAGCGGGAAAGCTATAACGTTTTATTTCAGATAGGCGAGCAACATTAGCTTCTTGCCAATTACTTTTCTGATATTGGGTTGCGCCTTCTTTCTTTTTTTAATTTTTTTTAAAATTTGTTTTAACGTCATTTATGATCATAATACAAACATCCAATTGTTAGAAATAACGACCAAGACTCCTTGTTAGAATATATTGACAGTAGGGTTAAATATGTCTTTGTACGTTGTAATTCCGGAAAGTTCTAGTAGACCCTAAACCTAACCCTAGCTACGTACGTTGTATACATGGCCGACTTTGGCCTCTGATAATACACATGAATACAGTAATCATATTCTCTGTCACTTCATGGTATCAGGCTTGAATTTATTCGAGCCATCTCAGTAATAAACTCTCTGTTGTTGTGATTTTCTCTTGACTTCTTTCGCCAACTTTGTCCTATGGTGATTGGTGAAGAATCAAGTGACTCCGGTGTCTCAAAAACAGTGACTGGTGCTGTTGTTGTTGAACCTTCCCTGCGAAAAACGATCGATTCTTATGACCTCTCTGCCGCCTATAATCCTGGTAATTTAATCACCATTGTCATGCCGAAGTTGGACAATTATGATGAATAGGCGCGTTCCATCCGTATGTCTCTTCGCGCCTGTAAGAAATTCGTCTTTGTGGACGGATCAATTCCACACCCGCCGGCAAACTATCTGGATCTCGAAGACTGGTGGACGAATAATTCTCTTCTGATCGCTTGGTTGTTGAAACTCCATCGACCTATCGATTCGGTCCACAATCCCACACCACGAAGTTGTTGCTGCTCTTTGGACCGATCTGTCGGAGCGATTCGGTGTTGTAAATGGTCCCTAAATTCAACAGTTGAAAGCGGAGTTGGCCAGCTGCAAGCAGAAAGGCCTGAGTATAGCTTCATACTGTGGCAAACTCCAGCAACTTTTGGAAGATCTTACACATTATGAGCCACCGTTGGAATGTTCCTGTGGTTCGGCCGAGTTTGTTGATAAATGTGCTACTCGTCGTGAACCATAGAAGGAATGCGGTTGTTTCTATTCAATTATTTTAAAAATAAATTAATTTTGAACGAAAAAACTACCGGGAAAATAATATTGTTTAAATAAAAAGTCAACTTCTACGCGGTTTTTAGAATGTACTTTTATAAAATAATGTTCTTTGAATTATTTAGATAATTTTTTTGCGTTCTGCCATTTAAATAATGTTTAGATTTACATTTATTACTTTGTAGATAATTGTGTCAATGTTATAATTTAGAATTTGTATATTAATGATGTAATCGTGTATGAAATGGTTAAATTGAGTACTGTATGTATTTGAGGGATGACCGGATATATATATTGGGTATGGAAACGGATATATATATATATATACATATATATTTTTGATCATTGAGATAGTTAAATTTCGATGAGAATTTTGTGCTTATCAAATTTTATCGTTCTTTAGCATATTGAGGGCTAAAGAACAAATTTGTCAATAAAAAATTCCGTTTAAGTAAAAGTAACAATTACATATCTAAAAAGAGCAAATTTGATTAATAACAGATTTTGTTTGAATAAAACAAAGTTGTATGTGAAAAGAACCAATTTGATTAATAGTGGATTCCGTTTAAGGAAAACTAAATAGTACATATGTAAAAAGAAAAAATTTGATATAACAGATTCTGTTTAAGTAAAATTATGTAGTATATATGTAGAAAGAACAAATTTGATCAATAACAGATTGCGTTTAAGTAAAACTAGTTATTACATATGTAAGAAGAATAAATTTGATTAATAATAGATTATGTATAAGAAAAACTAATTATTACATATGTGAAAAGATCAAATTTGATTAATAACAGATTTCGTTTAAATAAAACAAAGTAGTACATATGAAAAGAGAAGAAATTTGATTAATAGCGGATTCCGTTTAAGTAAAATTAAGTAGTGCATACGTAAAAGGAACAAATTTGATTACTAACAGATTCCGTTTAGGTAAAACTATGTAGTATATATCTAAAAAGAACAAAGTTGATCAATAACAGATTCTGTTTAATTAAGAGCATCTCCAATCATTGCACTATATTTTACACCAAATTTAGTGCACAAATAGAATATTCCAAGCATCTTTTTACACCAAACTTCTTT